ACAATTTTGAATTAACACTATTGACTAGAATAAATACAATTGTAAAATCTATATTTCATTGATTTTTTATCAAAATAATCAGATTGCCAAATTAAAATGCAGACACATGACTGCAGATAACAATAAGTAATGAAAAAAACTGGAAGGATAAAGAAAAAATTTCAAGTGTCGTTATTTACAACAGCGATGTTACTGGAGGGGTAATTTTGCATTACAAATAAAATGTTTTTTCTCCCATCAATATTAATAAACGCGAGGAACTGAACTAGTGACAATTTCTGTCCTCCTGTTAGTGAACACAAACTATAATAATCATTTGTATTGATCACTTATTATTCATGATCTTGTTACCATAGTGCATCTGTTGACTCTGTTTCATGCGAGTGCTGCAATGATAACTAGGATTTTTCGTTTTTCATCAGTGGGAAGTTTTAATTTTTATTAACAAAATGAAATCTTCAGGTTCAAAAACCACTGCAGTGCTCTGGAGCTTCGCCAAAATGGGAAAAATTGTATAATCTATAAATTATTTTTTTGTTTAATAATTCGGTGCTTAATTTATTTTATACATTCCATGATCGCAAAATTGTTCGTAAAGGAAAACTTTTTAATTGTCATTTAACTCCAATTTGAAATGTTTAATTAATGCCAATATTTTCTTTAAAGTGTCTTATACAATGTATTATTTTGTAGGTTGAATAAAATGGTCGCTTAGTTCACGGCATTCAATTACAGATTAAAAGATTGGATAAACTGTCCATTCAATTTGAAATAATAAATAAGCAAGTAAATTAATTAATAAACTATAAATAACTACAATATTTGGACTCAAATGCATACATCGACATATTACAGGAATCATTTCAATAAAGTCTTATTATTTATGTCTTTTGGTCGAAAAATTCATTCACTATTATAATTTCACATATTTATTCATATTATTCACTAAGCTTACAATGAACTTATTGTTATCGTCTTTTATTGCAATAAAATTATTAAATATTTACTAATTTATTTATACTTCTGAATACTTGGGTGCCAATTAAATATAAAATATTGTTATGGAAATAAATAAATTTTACTTCATCAACGTGAAATTCCAAAGAAATTATTGATACAACTTTACATCATGGAATTCCATTTAGATTTTTGAAGATGTTAAACAATATTGTGGTCAAGTTCACTTAAATCTTTGATTGTGGGAGGAATTAGATTTTCGACTATTCCTGTAATTGGGATATACAATTTCATTATAATATTCTCTCCAATTCTAATATTTAATCTTATTATATTTTCATTTATGATTTTCCCCTCCTTCACACTAAATTTCCAGCAGGGCGTTTGATGTGGCAAAAATTTAATTTCTTTCCGGAATTTGAGTGAAATTTTTGTGGACAGCAGGTTTTTTTTATGAAAGCTTACGATAAAATTTGCATGAGTAATAAATTTTTACGACTTCCTAAACTTAGACTTGATAGCTTCTCACAGAACTTTGGATAGTCCAGACCTCGAGGGTTGGGGAAATTATGGATATTGCTGATTGAAATTTCTGCAGGATTTAACAGCTTTATATTTTGTGATAGCTTGTTTGATTTTAATTTTCTATAGAATATGTGTAGGTAATTTATTGATAACCAGCGTTGCTCCGAATAGGTAATTCCTGTAATTTTAGAATCCTGTTATCCAATAATTTCTGTTTTCCTGAATCGATTTAATAATAACTATACCTATATATTTTAGTGATAAAAAGAACAAAATAATTAAACATCTTTCCATTTACCCTCAAAAACGATGGCTCTGCAATCAACTCTAATATCCTGCTGGCTTTTGCTGCACATCAACGACGCGGCCGGCAAGTCTGATATTGTCAGAATAGGTGAGTAATTTGCTTCACGATTCTTCATAATGAACAGGCAGTGTTCAGTCTCCAAGTCTCATTAAAATTTACTTGCAGAACTTTCCATGGCGAACCGTATTGGCGGAGCTGAAAAACTAAATATATGTATAATCTTTGAAAAAAACGCTAGTTTTGCTTCATTCATTGTGTGGACTTATAGTTCTTTACAACTTTCGACCTCGGATTAGCTCTAAATATTGTTACATGGCATCGCAGCTGTTAACTACTGGGGTGTTTTACTAAGGTACCCAGCCTTTTTATAGACTTTTACTTCCGCCCGCCTGGTTCTTGTCTCTTGTCCTCGTGACGCATGTGCTGTATAAACTGTTGCTCAGCGTCTGAGGCAAGCTCTCAGTGACACAGTGCACTCAAAGCTAATTATGTTTACAGGTAAACGCATTAGGATTTGTATCCACAAACTACTCTTGGATATTAAACGCAGTTGCCTGATGTTAGTTAAATGTAATTAGTAATTAGCGCAGACTAGATTGCTGCAGGTGCGTGAAGTTAATTAAATATTGAGAGCAATTACCGTAGACTAATTGATTGTAGGGGGCCAAAGTTAGTTTCATATTAAATATAATTACCGTAGACTGAAAGACTGCACGTGCGTGAAGTTAGTTAAATATTAGAGTAATTACCGCAGAGTAAAATGCTGTAGGTGCGTAAGGTTAGTAAAATATTAAGAGTAATTGCCGCAGACTACTTGACTGTAGGGGACTAAAGTTGGTTTAATAATAAAAAATAATTACCGTAGACTAAATGAATGTAGATGCGTGAAGTTATTTAAATATTAAAGGTAATTACCGAAGACTAATCGACTGTAAATGCGTGAAGTTAGTTGAATATTAAGAATAATTGCCTCAGAATATATTGCTGTTGGTGCGTAAAGTTATTTAAATATTAAAAATAACTAATGTAGACTAAATGACTGCACGTGCGTGAAGTTACTTAAATATTAAGCGTAATTACCGCAAACTAAATGACTGTAGGTGCGTTAAGTTAGTTAAAACATCACGAATAATTACCTCAGACTTAATAGCTGTTGGTGCGTAAAGTTATTTAAATATTATGAGTGATTACCGCAAACTAAATGACTGTAAGTGTGTTCAGAAAGTAAGTTATTTATGAAGAGTAACTAACGAAGAACAAATGCCGGCAGGGCCAGGAAATTGATATCCAAATAAAGGCTGATGATGATAGTCATATGTAAAAATAAATCAAACTGTGGATCTCAGGAGAGACATATTATTCCAATTAGGTAAATTATATTCCTCGCTGATTTTTGGGTTTTACTGTTATTTTCAACGTTATTGTAATTTTCAATGTCAATACCCAAATAAATTAGAGCTTAAGAATCACAGTCCAGTATCTATCTGAACAATATATGCCAATTATTAATGGGTCATTACTCAATTCGACAATAACAATGGCAATATCAGACAGATATTATTTTTTATATTGTCCTTTACTTATCAATAATGAGCATTAATTATTTAGCTGGAATCCCGAGCATATTTTTAAAACAAAGCAATACTTTAGCAAATTGTTCGAACGAAACTATAATTTGTTTGATTAAGCGCAAATGATGAATTTGCGCTAATGACGTTGAGCCTTTGCAGCCTCGCTCAGCATATGCTCAGCATATGCTCAGCATATGCTCAGCGTTGAGCCTCGCTCAGCATATCAAAGAATTTATTTTTGATAAACTATACTCGGCTTAGCTTCACGCCGATAACTTTTATCCTGTTTTATTTTCAGAAAATTAACCTAATTTTTCCTGCTCATATATTAATAACTCTTGCGATAACTCTTTCCTGCTCATATAATAAGTTATCTTGCGATAACTTAATAACTCTTGCGATAACACTCATGGATATTTCTCTGAATTTTTATGTTTGAAAATTTTCACGTTTTTCACCAGACGGCTGAAAGTGCAATGTTTAATGCATCGAGTTTCAAAAATTGGGTATCGGAGTCACGTGCATATTTGAATTTCCGCTCTGAATTGTTGAGTACTGCCACTCTAACGAAATTTTTATTTCAGTTATTTTTTACGTGTTGAATTGTTAACGTGTAAAAATAAATACCTGATGAATTTGTTGAGGAATCCCTTTTTAACGAAATTCTTAACTAAGTTATTTTTTGGATGGAATTGCAATTCAAATACATCTTATATATTTATTATTAATATAAATGACATTTATATAGACTGCGTACAAATTCAAAAAGTTTATTGTAAGTAATTTTTTCTAGTTTTCAATTGAAGTCGCAAGACCAGGCAAAAATTGTTAATGCATCAGAAATTGAAGAATTTTTCACGACATGCAGATTTTCATTTTATTTAACAATACGCCGTGAAATTGTATCATAATTATAGCCGCAATCTCAGGCGCAATCTTCGATGAGCCCAGCCTGCGGGAGGAGCAAGTTTTCCGCGCTGCAATCGAGGCAATCAACGGCAATCGAAAGCTGTTGGCGCACAGCAGATTGTCGGCAATTATCGAGACTGTCAAACCTGGCGACTCTATGGCAGCTTATAAAAAAGGTGCCTTAATGCTGTGGCAACAATGATAGCCTTAAGAAATCTATTCTACAACTTAAATTATTATTACTTACTAGAAAAAAGTTATCAGGATTTACATGTACACAGATGGCAGAGATAAAAAATTATTGTGTCGTTGATTTTCTCGTTCTGTTTATATGCTTAAAATGAAACAAAATGGGCAAATTGACATTTTCTCTCTTGCAAAATTTCTTTATAATTTGGATGTTAAAAGTCTACGTTGCGTACACGTACTAAAATTAAGCCCGTTGCTGATGGCCAGCGTGCGCGATGCTGCAGACCGGCGTAGCGGCCATATTCGCAGGGTCTACAGATGGCGGCAGCGTACAGACTGCCTGCGACCATCTGGAGGTGCCGCTGCTTATGGCGCGCTGGCAGAACAGACGGCCGCCCTTTGCAATCAATCTCCACCCGCCCCCGTCAACCCTGGCCGCCGTGAGTACACTCCGGATACTGTGATAACCGTATTAACCGTATTTATACTGTGTTTAACCGCATTTATACTGTATATAACCGTATTTATACCGTATGAAAACGATGACTGATCAATCTCTGCTCTCCGCCGTCAAATCTGGCCGCTGTGAGTCAACTCCAGATACTGTGTTAAACTTTTTTTATACCGTAGTCGTATATGAAGCGTATTTGTTGTAATTACATGTAATTGATAGTCAATCAGTCTCTACTCTCCAACTGATGATAAGTATGATGACCGATCAATCTACCCCCTCAATCCTTACACATGCGTGGCAGTCAGCCAAATTCACCACATTAAAGCAATCGGCAATCAATCTCCACCCTCACCGTGCCACCCTGGGCTCCATGAGTCGTATTCACCACATTAAAGCAATCGGCAATCAATCTCTACCCTCGCCGTGCCACCCTGGGCTCCATGAGTCGTATTCACCACATTAAAGCAATCGGCAATCAATCTCGCCTGACAGCCGTGGATTTCTCTTCACCGCATGAGGTCAATGATTGATTCACCGCCACCCCTCACCCTCAGCGGCTGTGGTCAAAATAAATATCAGTTCCATGCAACATTCACTGTACAATCACTGGACATTCACTGAACATTTACTGAATAGTAACTTAACACTCTATATATTCAGTCATTCAACAGTCACTGAACAGTCACTGAAACACAGGCAGCAAATGATTGGGCAATGTCTATCAAAGAAGTTTTTCATGTGGCAATTTTGTTGAGTTACCTTGAACATGGCCTATGGTTATGCTAAAAAACGTTAGTTTTTTCTCGGTTGAAGTTGCCTATTCCTAACACCTTAGAACACCTCATCGCCCTAACACCCAAAAAATACTCCCAGCCACCTCCAACACCACAATAACACATCATACTAATCCCAACTCTACAATAACACCACCTACAATCCCAATACACCATTAAGCCTCTCCACCTACCCAAATCTGCCAATATCATCCCAATAATACACCCCAACACCCAAATAGCATTCCAATACATACCTCAACACCCCTGTAGCATCCCAATAACACACCCCCAATACCGCTGTAGCATCCTAATAACATACCCAAAATCCATGTAGCGTCCAAATAACACACCCCCAACACGCAAATAATTCCCTATACCATCACACAAAAATAACGAGCCAATAATCCACCAATTACTCACCAATAACTCACAAATAACACATAAATAACACACCAATAACACACAAATAACACACCAATAACACTCCAATAACACAACAATAACACACCAATAACACACCAGTAACGCACCAATAACACACCAGTAACATACCAATAACACACCAATAACACACCAATAACACACCAATAACACACAAATTACACACCAATAACACACCAATAGCACACCAATAACACACCAATAGCACACCAATAACACACCAATAACACGCCAATAACACACCAATAAAACACCAATAACACCCCAATAACACACCAACAACACACCAATTACCCATCAATAGCACACCAATAACGCACCAAGGACACGCCAATAACACACCAATTGCACACCAATAACACACCAATAACACACCAATTCAATAACCCACCAATAACACACCAATAACACACCAATAACACACCAAAAACACACCGATAACACACCAATAACACACCAATAACACACCAATAACACACCAATAACCCACCATTAACCCACCATTAACACACCAATAACACACCAATAACACACCAATAACACACCAATAACACAGCAATAACCCACCAATAACCCACCAATAACACACCAATAATACAGCAATAACACAGCAATAACACACCAATTCCACACCCCAGCACGCCACTACCCCACGTTACACACCTCTCCCCTCCCAGGCGTACAGGTCGGTCCTACAGGCGCTGGGGTGGCAGGACTTGGTTGCCGTGTGTGACTCCAGCGATAACACACCAATAACCCACCAATAACACACCAATAACACACCAATAACACACCGCAGCACGCCACTACCCCACGTTACACACCTCTCCCCTCCCAGGCGTACAGGTCGGTCCTACAGGCGCTGGGGTGGCAGGACTTGGTTGTCGTGTGCGACTCCAGCGAAGGACTCCTGCGGGTGAAGGAACTCCTTAAAGATGACGCCTTCAGGGTCACGCTCAGGGACCTGCCTCGCGGCCTGGATTACAGGTTATCCTTTAGCATCAGTTGAATTAAATATACAAATGTACAAGTTATCCTTTAGGATCAGTTGAATTAAATATACACAAATGTACAAGTTATCCCTTAGCATGAGCTGAATTAAATAAACACAGAGATACAGAGTATCTTTAGGATCAGTTGAATTAAATATATACAGAGATGCAGGCTATCCTTTAGGATGAGCTGAATCAAATATACACACGGAAAATTGATGGTCAAATAGTCCATGTATCGACACTTTCAGCTGGTAGCACTGATACGCCATTTTGAGGGTCAAGTTGGGTGAGGATGACTCACATAGGTACATGAAGTACATTGCGATTTGGACAAAATATCGTTCATTTTTCCGAGTGTACTTGTAGAAAATTAATTAATTAATAGAGAGAAATTTAATTAAGCATGAAATTAAGAAACCATTTGAAAAGTTCTTGATAATATGTGTGCAGAAAGGCCAAGTAAGATAAAATGCTTGTTTATTTGACTAGATGCCCATTAATAAACAGTAGAGATAGAAAACAATAGTAAGAGAAGAATAATTCAGTTTATTACATGTATGATGTCAAGGATCCTTTTAGTTCTTCAGCTATCTCATCTTTAAAAATATACGCGTTTACCAACTAACATACATGAATTCCTCGAACGTTGGAAGAATTGAGTATGATATTACAACACTTCTCTTTAACTTCACTTCTTGTCTGTCTGTCTGTCTGTCTGTCTGTCTGCTACAAATCTTGTAATAAAAATTTAATACACTTCTACTCATCCTATCGATCTGAAATTTTGCACACTTGTGTAAAGTTGGAGACAATGCATGAATCAAATGTCAAAATAAAAGATTTTAAAAATTAAAAATTTTTTTTTAATATTAAAAAAAATTGAAAAAATAATTTTGTCAGCTACAAATCTTATAACTGATATTTGGCACACTTTTACTTGTCTAATTGATCTGAAATTTTGCACACTGGTGTGAAATCAGAGGCAATGCACGAATCAATAAACAGAATAAATAATTTAAAAAAATTTATATATATTTAAAAAATTGAAAAGGTAATTTTTTTTAATTTTCGAAAATTAGACGAGAAATTCATTGTACATTTGTGAGATTGGAGACACTGGATTCTTTGGAAGTGTTGTCTTTAAAAAAGTAATTTTTAAACGCATATTATGTAATTAATATTGTGTCTTTTAAATTCATTCCTCTTCTATTATGGTTCCAACAACAATATCTGATTTGCAACTTCAATTTATTATACTGAACATTATTTCAATGAAAATGTCATTATAGCTTTTCCACGCCATTACCTTACGATGAGCCACGTTTATTCCTAAATCTGAATTCTAATTTTCCCTCCCCAGGGAGCTTCTGAAGGCAATCAAGTTATCAGGAATTGTGCACATCCTGCTTGAAGTTCATCGCTCCAAAATACATTCCCTGCTGAAGCAGGCGCAGCAGATAGGCCTGATGACGGCCTATCACCACTACTTCATCACTTCTTTGGTGAGCACTTAGTATCCTTAGCATCCTTAGTATCCTTAGTATCCTTAGTATCCTTAGTATCCTCCTTAGTATCCTTAGTATCCTTAGTATCCTTAGTATCCTTACCTAGTATCCTTAGTATCCTTAGTATCCTTAGTATCCTTAGTATCCATAGTATCCTTAGTATCCTTACCATCCTTAGTATCCTTAGTATCCTTAGTATCCTTGGTATCCTTGGTGTCCTTAGTGTCTTTAGTAGGGTAACGTGGGGCAGCGCGCCCCCCACTTTTTTTAAACTAAAATTTTGACGAAGTTTTAATTGATACGAGGTGGTTCTTTGTTTTGTTTAAAGGTGCAACTAATGAGGAATGTATGATGTGATTTAGGCGCCTATAGAGTTATTCAATTTTTAATGAAACATTATTTTGTAAGTAGTGTCAAAATGGGCCCATTGCCCCACCCCTGGGGCAATGGGCCCATGGGCTTGGGGCAAGGCGCCCACAAAGGGACCCTTGGTCCCTTTACCACAATTGCATATTTTTCGTTTAAAAATGATAAAACAACACTTTACAGTTAAAAATAAGAAAAATGTAATAAAAAATATGACATTCATTCATTTATTAACAACTCAAAAATCANACCGAATATTTTTGAAGTTCCTGCCTCTGTAAGTCCGCAGTCATTCGCCCTGTTGCCGGAATATGTTGACTCGAAGTTCCCGACGCGAAGTTCGGGACCGCTGAGTCCCGGACATGTTGAGGAGGCGCAAGTTACGAACTTCAGTGCGATGCCGGTGAGAGAACTTGACTAAGTTTTGAAGTTCACGAACTTTAATAAGTTATGAAGTTTACAAACTTCAGTGCGATGCCGGTGAGAGAACTTGACTAAGTTTTGAAGTTCATGAACTTTAATAAGTTATGAAGTTTACGAACTTCAGTGCGATGCCGGTGAGAGAACTTGACTAAGTTTTGAAGTTCATGAACTTTATTAAGTTATGAAGTTTACGACCATCAGTGCGATGCCGGTGAGAGAAGTTGACTAAGTTTTGAAGTTCATGAACTTTAATGAGTTATGAAGCTTACGAACTTCAGTGCGAAGCCGGGTAGAGAACTTGACTAAGTTTTGAAGTTCATGAACTTTATTAAGTTATGAAGTTTACGACCTTCAGTGCGATGCCGGTGAAAGAACTTGACTAAGTTATGAAGTTCATGAACTTTAATCAGTTATGAAGTTTAAAAACTTCAGAGAACTTATGAAAGTTGTGAAGTTTTCCATAAATTGTTAGTTTGATCAGAACTTCAGATCATGAAGCGTAAACATTTTGGGTGTTAACATGTGGATAGATCGATGCCATTTTCCAAGCGAGCAGTGGCTTAAATTTTCTAAAAATTAATCGAAATTTTTTTCATTTCAAATGACTAGTTCATTCTTAGATCAAAACGTTTGATAAGGGATTATCATAACTTTAATTTAGTCATTGAATTTTTAGTGAAGGAGTGAAGGATTTTGCCCCTGGACGGAGCTGTCGCGTACGAACTTAATCACAATATTTTCTTTTTGAATTGAATTATCAGTGAATTATTATCAGTGAATTATTATCAGTGAATTATTATCAGTGAATTATTCTCAGTGAATTCACCCCTTGACGGTTCAGGCACTTGTGAAATTTATCCTAGTATCTTCCTTATAGGAAAATAGTTCAACCTTAATAGATAAAAATTAATTTAATTGATTTAATTCATTAAATTAATTTAATTTAATTAATTAATTACCATAGAGAAATATGCTAAATTCGCTTAAGATTTTATTTACAGAATCAATTCCTCACAAATTCAGCCCAGACGAAGCAGGCACTTGTGAAATTCATCCTAATATTTTTTTGGAAACCAAGTTGAATTCACTTTGAATTTTCTTCTGGGTATTGAATTATCAGTCAATTCTTCTTTATTTCCTTCGGAAAATGTGATGAATTTGCTATAAATTTCTTTTGGGAATAGTATTCTCAGTCAATTCGTCCCTATTTCCTTCGAAAAATATGTTGAATTAGCTGTGAATTTTCTTTTGTGTTTAAATTATTTTCCAATTGACCACCAGACGGAACTGGCGCTGGTGTACGACGCGGTGCAGCTGTTCGCCAGAGCGCTCAGCGACCTCGACAAGACGCGGGCCATCGAAGTGCTGCCGCTCAACTGCTCCAAGGAGCAAGTCTGGCCACTTGGAGCCACACTCGTCAACTACATCAAGTGGGTCAGTCAAGTGCTGCCGCTCAACTGCTCCAAGGAGCAAGTCTGGCCACTTGTAGCCACACTTGTCAACTACATTAAGTGGGTCAGTCAAGTGCTTCAAGTGGGTAGGTCAAGTGCTTCAAGTGGGCCAGTCAAGTGCTTCAAGTTAGTCAAGTACATCAAATGGGTCAGTCATGAACATCAAGTGGGTAAGTCAAGTACATCAAGTGGGTCAGTCAAGTACATCAAGTGGGTCAGTCAAGTACATCAAGTGGGTCAGTCAAGTGCTTCAAGTGGGTCAGTCAAGTACCCCAAGTGGGTCAGTCAAGTGCTTCAAGTGGGTCAGTCAAGTACCTCAAGTGGGTCAGTAAAGTGCTTCAAGTGGGTCAGTCAAGTGCTTCAAGTGGGTCAGTCAAGTACCCCAAGTGGGTCAGTCAAGTGCTCCAAGTGGGTCAGTCAAGTACCTCAAGTGGGTCAGTAAAGTGCTTCAAGTGGGTCAGTCAAGTGCTTCAAGTGGATCAGCACATTAAGTGGGTTAGTCAAGCACATCAAGTAGGTCAGTCAATTACCTTAAATGGGCCAGGCAATTCACTCTAGAAGTTTAATACGTATAAAATGTCCCGAAACAGTTTTTAGATTTTGAATCGAGAATCAAAGTAGAATTTAGATTATATTTATATTATTTGTATATTGTTTTATTGAATGTGAAATGTGTGTTTGAAGAGGTAATTCTCTTTTTATTAGCATAGGTAACATTTTTGTTATTAAGGGATTGCGGAATGGCGGGACTTGCAGGGTTTATCAATTGATTAAAATTACAGGGATTATCAAGCCCGGAAATACGAGCGGACCTGTTAGTGAATAAATAAGTGATAAATAAATGGATAGTGTCTAAGTTATTTCGTTTCGTTAATTATACATGCATCAATAAAAATATTTTTAATAAAAATAGTACTGCTGTAAAAAATTTGCTGCACAAGGATTTAAATTTAAAACAGAGCATAAATAATCATTTGATTACGTTATAACGTTGAATGTTAAGGTTGAGCTGTACGGCTTCTCTGGACTGGTGCGTTTCAACGCATGTTTTAACGTTGAATGTTAAGGTTGAGCTGTACGGTCGTTTCAACGCAGACGGGGCGAGGAGCGACGTTAAGCTTGACGTCGTCGCCCTCACTGAGGGAGGCCTGCGCGTCATCGGCCGGTCAGGGGAAAATAATCTCAATGAAAAACAGATTTATGGATCTGTTTTGGTATGATAGACACTCAGAAAAACATTTTAAGAGATGTGAATGTCTACCATATCTTTGGTAAAGATATAATGAAATCCAGCTCCATTTAAAGGTATTATTGACCTTGTAATTTTCAGGCCATTTTCTTATCTTTTAAATTCTTTGAAAACTTTAGATTTGACCTCACATGGAATGCATCAGGACAACTGTACGAACAATCGGTGTGATCATGAAGTTTCTAAAATTATGAAGTTTGACGAGCGATAAACAAGAGAGGAATTTTCACAATTTTAATAGATACTTTGAATTACTGATGATTATAATGTTTTTGATCATTGGTGCCAATTATGAAAGAAATAAGCAAATTATAAAATGGCGCCAAGTAAATAAGCGGGCAGTATAAGGAAAATGTTCCGCAGTTTAAATGCACATGTCCTCAAAGTTTGTTCAAAGTTTCATTTCGTATCATATATATGTTTGACGGATATATATCATAAACTGTAAAATGCTCGAAACTCTACACAGTTGCTTCCTAATTTTTTCCCCAATGTTAGATTTAGTCATTAATTAAATGAACTTGCTAGGTGGGATCCGATCGGAGGCGCGAATTTCACGCTACCTGGTGACTCTGCCGCACGTCGAGCGGTGAAATCGATGCGTAACTCGCAACTCAAAATCCTGTCCATTCTGGTGAGTGGATAATTCAAGTGGCAAATCATCATTGGTTATTAGCTTTAACTATCATTAAACTTATAGTTTATGGATGTGCAATGTTATTATTTTAATCAAAAATATTTCATTCTTTTTCAATAATCCTGACTGTGTTAATTTTGTATATTAATAACCAGCATTTAACTTATTTCAATAAACTTATACCATTTATTAAAAATCTCTGAACTTATTTCAAACCAATTTTTTTAACTTATATTTTTTGCCTATCTATAATCATTTCTAGTCGCCCCCTTTCGCCATGAGGGCAGATGAGGGTTCGAGGGCATCAGCGTCGACCTGGCGAGGGAAATATCCAGGCTGCTGGGTTTCAACTACACCTTCAACCCTGCGCTGGATGAGTACGGCGAGTTCAACCCAACTCAACAACGATGGACAGGACTCATTGGGGAGATTGTTGAAAAGGTGATAGTCTTAACGGCGGTTTCTTCGTTAACAACTCAGAGGTTTATTTATCAGAAATTATGATTTCTAATTAATTATATTTTTTTTGATCTCGTCAATTAACTTCCGGCCTCACCTCCGGCGTCCTTGATGGAATTAAGTATCTCATTCTGATAAAACTATATCAAAGGATTAGTTTATTTCGTAATTTTCCTCTAACAACTTATGTTGCCTTTCACTAATTTCGTAATATATTACATTTATCAATATTTTTTATCACCCTTACAGCCAATTACCCTCAGATTTATTAATCCTCGCAGGCAATTTACCCTCCGATAAATTTACATCCTCAGACAGATACTTTCAGATTAATTTACCTTCCCACAAAGTTACCCTCTTAATAAATAAAAGCCTATTAACCAATGTAGCCCATATTAATTTAGAACCTGATGAAAAATTTACCTTCAGATTATTTTAGATCCTGTTGACCAATTGACCCTCAGATCAATTTAGACTCTAATGACCAACTTACCCTCAGATCAATTTAGACTCTAATGACCAACTTACCCTCAGATCAATTTAGACTCTAATGACCAACTTACCCTCAGATCAATTTAGACCCTAATGACCAACTTACCCTCAGACCAATTTAGACCCTAAGACAGACCTCTTTACCCTCTTACCCTCGTAACAGAGGGCTGATATGATCATCGCTGATCTGCCCATCACCAGCGACCGCCAGAGGGCAGTGGACTTCAGTTCCCCTTGGATGAGCTACGGTAAATGTTTAAGTTTCATTCATAAATAGCGATGATGATTAAATGATATCCGCGGGAGTGTCTTGAACTTTTATGTGCAATGTGGCATTCAGGGTTACACGAGCAGGGATAATATATGTACATTCTATTTCTTTTGATGAAGATCAAAACCTTGGAATCTTTTAATTTGAAATTTCCAATGTAACCATAGGTAATCTAGCAGCAGAATTTATAAAAGTAACTTAAATAATATGCGTGTAAAAATTGCTTTCTAGAGACAACACTTCTAAATAATCCGGTGTCTTTGTGAATACACATTTACAATGAATTTCAAATTTTATTTTCAAATATTAAAAATAAATTAAACATTTTCTTTAATATATAAAAATTTTGAAAACTTTCAAAATTATTTCTTCTGTCAACTGATTCATGCATTGTCTCCAACTTTATACAAGTGTGCACAATTTCAGATCGATTATAATATTGGTAGCAGACAGACAAACAAGAAGTGAAGTTAAAGAGAAGTGTTGTAAAATAAAAATGTCAATAGCCCAAGGAGTAATTTTTGTCTCCAGTAAAGTTGCTTAATTCTGATATAAATATTGAAATCGTAAAATATTAATATTATTAGTATTTTCTGACCCAACGTATCGGCGACACAAGCACGGTTACAACATCAACATATCAGTAGAAACCGTACGTACAAATAAAATATTTCATCTGAATTATGAATACGATGGTCCTTGTATGAGACTGAGAACACGAAAAATACCAACCATGACTTTTAGATATCGACGCATCCCTGATGCTTTACAAGAATTATTCGCATGCATTGTTAATTGAACATGGTAGGAGTTACTATAGCTTTTAAACCATTGTACATGGTTAAAGTTCATGGCTCGCAAGCTGAATCCGAAATCGATGTAAAAAAATCCGTAAAATTGAAGTTAGTTTCTCATGAACCTTGGTACACGAATAAAATGGAAGTTAAAATTTAAAATAATGTGACCCAATAACATTGAATGATCATTCGAAAAAAACATAACAGGATTTGCAGCTAATTTTGAAGCCGATTTTTTTTAAATAACGATCGAAACGAAGCGGCAAACAGAACTCTTCCCCGAATTTTTCAACGACATAAAAAACTTATGAATGATAAAGTGAAAAAATGTCTAAATATAATATTTTCCATGTAATATAGGCCTATCAGCGCTGTATAGACCAGACTTTAATATTTTCCATGTAATATAGGCCTATCAGCGCTGTATAGACCAGACGCTCCTGCATCACCGTACACGCTGCTGTTGTCGCCGCTATCACTCGAGCTGTGGCTGGCAACTGCCATCACATACGCCCTTCTTGCCCTCATCTACGCCTACATCAACAGGCAGGTGATGTGTACAAGCGATGTAGAAGCTCGTGGAACTAGTGTGCACTAGTGTGTACTAGTGTTTGTTAGTGGAACTAGTGTGTACTAGTGGAAATAGTGTGTACTAGTGGAACTAGTGTGTCCTAGTGGAGCTAGTGTGTACTAGTGGAACTAGTGTGTACTAGTGGAACTAGTGTGTACTAGTGGAAGTAGTAGGTACTATTGGAATTAGTGTGTACTGGTGGAACTAGTGTGTACTAAGGGAACTAGTTTGGACTATGGAACTAGTGTGTAAATAATTATTTCACTTCTTCGAGAGTTTGTTCAGTGTTATGGATATTTAAATCGAAAAGAATTTTATGAATGATTAAGTATTCAAGGAACAAATTCTCTATATACGATATATTTAAGTAATTCATGGATGAGTTTCTTTTTGTTCTCTGGTAAATCAACAATTAAAATTATTTTACTATTAACTAAGATTATATAAACCATGATAAATATGTTTAGCCATTTGATATCATGAACTGTCATTTCAAATCGGTTATTGTCGACCAAAAGATTCCTTATATACAAGATCACGATCGAGAATCAGCATTATCGACAATTATAATTTTCGACAATCATCATTTTCGACAATCATAATTTTCGGCAATCATAATTTTTGACAATCCTCATTTTCGACGAGCATCATTAACGAGAATCAGCATCAATAAACCACCATCAGGTCAAACCTATTTCCACTTGCATGCCCGCGATTATCATACCACCTTTATCACGCTTACCATTATCGCACAAAACATTATCAAAGTCTCCATTCTTAATGTTTCATTATCATTCTATCGCACTGCTGCGCTCTGTCGAATATTTCCTTCATTATCACTGATACACACCTCCTATTATGAACAAATATTTCAATATTTAATTTTAAAATCCACGTAATAATTATTTTAGGGGATTATGAAGGAATATCTAGGAGTACTAACACTGTCAGCCAGATATGTAGGACATCTAACTTTTGCATACATAAAATTATAAATAAAATTTAATTTGCAGCCCGCGTAATCAATTTATTTGTTTAATTGACTTTTAAGTTATTTGATCCCAATTAGTTAATGTTTAATTAGATTTAATTCAATAATCATCTTTTATTCAGCCTACAGAGACGCGGCCTGCGTAGGCTGGGAGCCGCGGTTCACGCGGAGCACGACTGCAGGTAATTGTTGAATATGAAATAAATGTAAAATTGAATGTAATTAATGAATTTTAAATAGTGTAAAATTTTTTAAATTACTGAATTATTAGGTATGCAACTGCACATTTTTTGTTCATAATCATTGTGTCAATTTAAGTTGCGTCAAAAGTCGATTTGGTATGAAAAAAAGGCATTTACTTATATCAGTATTTCGCTAAAATCGTAAATTACCTATAAATTTCAAATAAAACAAATGCCAGCTAAATTGTCCATACTGCATTGGATCTGTTTTCAATAAACTCGTGTTGAATTCATCTGCTTCCATGTTTGTTCTTAAACTCTTGCTAAAAAACACCAGCGGCCTGATATTACAGGGCCGTCTTGACCGAACCTAACGAGGTTTGCGTTCCATTAGCCGCAGGCTTCCTTGAGAGTTACCAACCGTCATGGCCAATTGTGTCCATATTTACAATCGCGAACACATCAATTTTATGGCAGTTATCTATTAATTGTGATAATATTTTTATGGTGGTTATCTTTTACGGTGATTATCTTTTTATATTGATTATGTTTCTATGGTGACCATATATCTTTTTATTGTGGTTATCCTTTATTGTGGTTTTCACTTTTGGTGGCTGTTCTTTTCTGTCGATCATTTTTATGAAGGTTATCATGATATATTTTAGTCTTTGACTAAGATTAAATGAAGTGAGTAAAGGGCCTTTAGATGATTCTATATTCCCAACATTTAATTATGCTCTGCAAAAAAATCTATATAAGTGGAATTCTTGAAATCCAACGCGTTTGCAGGTAAGTTCTGTGGCAATTTAGATTAAAAACACAAATGTTTCAACAAATTTCCACAGTTTGGTTCCATCAATTAGTTTAGAATTCTTTTCAATATCCACAGCGCGGTTTCGTCGAGGGCCGTGATGATCGTGATGTGGTTGTCCACTGCCGTGACAATGTCCTGTTACATCGCTAACTTGTCGGCCGTGTTTCAATATCCACAGCACGGTTTCGTCGAGGGCCGTGATGATCGTGATGTGGTTGTTCACTGCAGTGACAATGTCCTGTTACATCGCTAACTTGTCGGCCGTGTTTCAATATCCACAGCACGGTTTCGTCGTTGCGGTGCGCATATGAACGTTTTTACTGTTACTTTACAGCGGATATCGCGGTGCGCATGTGAACGTTTTTACTTTTACTTTGCTTGGTATGTTATTGTTTTTGCCTTGATTCCGTGAAAATGAAATAAGCGGAAACAAAATTCTAACGACACGAAGGCGTTCCTGTTTATTTTAATTATTATTATTTGATTTAAGCTGTAATTTTATCAACGAATAACCTATGTAACAACGATCCTAATAGTATGAACGAGTTTTTAATAATCTGAACACGTTTATCTATATTTTGTATTGTATATTGATCTCAAAATTTGAACAAATAAGAAAAACAGATGCTATTAAGATTCTAATGGCATGACTATCCTGTCCTTGGCCGTATTTTCCATGCTTCGCTCGAATAATTTCACTACTTTTCATA